AATATGACAATTAACCTAAATACGTATAGTCTGGGAGAATTAAATTCATCGTACGTGTGGGTCTGACGAGCCGTATTTTCCCAAATAGATGCTTTGGCGTGCAAGTATAAATGAGCTTGTGAATAGTTGGGAAAATTTTTTGGATAAATGCCGTTACTTTCTTGAAGATGAGTTAGAGTCCACATCTGTTAGTCAGAAACGTAGATATCACGTTTGAAAACTGGTGTAGCCATAACATAAACGTGTTTTAATAGCTAAAGGAAAACTATAGCTAAAAAAGTAATAAAAGCATTAAAGTCGTCCGCAGCCAATCATCAAATGCGCAACAACATTTTGTTTTGCACAGTTATTCATAACGCGTGACATTTTTCGTATAACGATCTTTCAAAATAAGGTAGACAAGCTTAGATCAATTCAGAAGACATTCTGAGTCGATAGAACTTGTGGCAATCTCAAGTCCTCCTGGGCCTTATATACAACCCAACAAACTTAATATATCCTGCAAATGTTACTAGTTGTTGTTTTGCGTAAAATGAGCTCAATAAGTTCCAGATCAAAACGAATTGAATTGAACTAACAGTTTGTATTTATAACAACCGCATCCCCATGAGTAGTCGAGTAAGTAAGAATCGCGACTACCAAGTAAGGGTTTGCAAGTTTAAATCTCAGTGCGGTAGAGTTTATTTTGCTCGTAGCTTTAGTGAGTGTGTAGTTGGTAAACGCATAAAACCTATCACGCATATCCAGTAGGCTGTGGCTACCATCTCTATATATCTTCCTTCAATTCCCATTCCCCACTTTTTTCAGGCCGTGACAACGTCACACGAATAGGTGACATCCTCTGACTAAGTGGTAATATTACAAAAAAAGGGAGAAAAACAAGCTTGCTTCCAAACATTATACACAGTTAACATATTTCTGTATGGTAAACACAAGAATATTTATTGAGAATTACCAATTCTTAGTTACTTCTAAGTCATTGATTATATTATAATCCAAAAAAATATATAAAATCAAAAATAGAAAAGCTTGTTAACAAAGATTTGATGTAAGTATACATATACGATGATGAACTGGCATGCATGTAAAATCATGGTGCCTCACGTTTTATGACGGCAGATTTGTTCAAATTTCACATTCGATGAATAATAAATCTAGCCGGCCTAAGGCATGTATAACCGATATTTGTAACTCTTTTAATATGTTCAAAATTGTATAAAATAAACGTGAGTGACATCTTTTCAGAGGAGCACTCACCGTTATACTTATACATAGCCATGTAAGTTTTTGCAAAAATCAAAGTAAAAAAGTTTTACACCTGAAATAGTGTTGCAAGGTTTTTAAAATTCATCAGTTACCATAAAAGTAGAGTGCAGAGAAACGTAGCACACGATGCTTACCAACACATTTGCGGTATATAAAAAATTAAGAGATGATTAGTTCATTCCGAAATATGGGTATGTGCATGTGCATTGCTTTATTCCTATAAAGCATAAAAGTTTTTAAATTAAATTTTATTTAAATTTGACATTTCTGCAGGCCACTCTTTGAATTTGTGCTTCATATATATGGGGATAGCAACGTTACATTTTACAACATTTCCTTAATTTTTTTCTCTTATTGTAGGCGAGTCAAAGATGTTTTTTCTACCCTACACCAATTGTGGTACAGAGTATATTAAGTTAGCGCGGTCGTATGTAACACGCAGAAGGGCTTAAGATGTTTCAATATTTTATTCCGATTTTATTATTCCGATCGATTTAGAATCATCTAAGCTTGCCTGGCCGTCTGATATCTGCCCATGTAAATTTGTGTTCAAGTTAAAAGTTGTAATTTTTGAGATATTTTGATGAAATTGGTACAGTGACGTGCTTTGACCCAAGGACGAAAATAGTGCGGATCGGTCCACTCGTTCGACGAGTTACGTGAAGAAAAATTGTAATTTTCAAAATTTCTTGACAAAAGTGGCTAAGTAGTAGTATTTCGGTATTCTAAATGGGTATGAAACCTTTGGAACGGCTGGGGCAATTTTTGTACTTCCTCTCATATAACGAAAACTTAAAACGTATAGTTTTGAACGCTTCATGATGAAAATTACATCATAATAGTAATTTAACATAAAAAAATTAACTGCGCCATCTCGGTCTATTTTTTGGATCCCACTCTACTAAGGATTTTCATGAAGTCGTAGAGCAGAAAAGTTTGCAAAAGTATATTATAATAATTTCGAATCAAAATGAATTCTATAAAATTTGAACCATCTACGCCTATTTCGGGTTCCTGCCCTATGTAAGGATTAAACTTGTACTGCGTTAGGTTGCGTCTTGGGCCTGCTTCCCCATAAATGCGCACATGAAAAATATGCCTTTATATAGAAACAAGATATAAGTTTTGTGTTCTATAATAAAATAGAAATTGTGTTAAACAATGTGGTGTAGGGTATTTAATGGTCGGTTTTGCCAGCTGGGTGACCAAATCAGTGCATATGAAAACTGCCGCTTCTGTTGCGCTTCATAAGTTAGAAACTTAAAGTACAAAATTTCATTATTTTAAACTTTCTGTTTCTATTGAATTAAACTGAACGAAAATTAAAGGCCGTGCTATGATATTTGAACTTCATTACTTGTGATATTGTTGTTATTTTCTTACATGATTATTTTAAAATAAATATTAGTCTTGTGACTATTTGGTTCTATTGGACTATTTTTATCTTTCTGGGTTGCCCCAACGAATATTTTATAGAAAGTTATCGCAAATTTCTGTGTCAAGTCGTCAAACTGTTGTTGACTGCAATATGAGGAAGTTTTAATACATATATATGGATATATAAATATATTTATATATATAAATTTATATATATATATAAATGTATTTATATACATATATACACAAAAATATATAAATATATATATATACATATAAAATATATATATATATATTTTACTATACCGACCAATTCAGAATCACCTTGCATTGATCTTAATTTGACTGTCTATCTGCCTTTTTTCTTATGTTCAACCTACAGTTAGCAATATTTGTCTTTCGATGTAATTTAGTGAACCGATGGATCGGATCGCTTTTTTGATGTCTTTATATATAAAACTTTAGTTGGAAAAGTCTTTATATGAATAACTGTATTAAGCGAAAAAGTGAAGAGTACTTAATGGTGAGCCCTGTCCCGTTATAATGGTTTTATTGGTTAAATATAGTTCATTTTATCATAAAAATATCTTTTTTTTTTTTTTTTTTTTTTTTTTTTTTTAAGTGATTTCTGATTTCTTATAAAATTTAATATGCAACTTTCTAAATAATAATCTTAAGGGAACATTGTTGTCTATCTTTACCTATTACATATAAAAGCATTGTCGACTGTTTTTAGGGTAAAGATTTTTAAAACAGTGTGTGTGGTAGGCTTTAAAGACTATAAATTCAAGCTAAGCTCTTAAGAAGATGCAATCGTTATATGATGTGATGGGATATTTTATTCGTACTCGCAGATTTATAAAATTTCATCTTCTTCAGCGAGCATTAAGAATTCAGTAGGCTTAACCAATAATGACCAATCAGCAATAACGACGACTTATTTAAAAAAGATCTTAAGAAATTACTGAATGATTAGATATTTTAACTTCGTTTTAACTTCGTTGAGAATACCGTAGTGACACAATTTCTTTTGCGTTTTCTTAAGTACTTCGAACCGTCAAATATTCGGAAATATCCATTAAATAAGTCTGTATTCTGATTTTAAAATATATTTCAATTGAAAATAAATGCATTTTACGTGGTTGGAAAACAACGCGCTTATTATAAAAAAACGAAATAAATATTAAATGATTGAATTTTCATTGTTGTTTCTTCTCTTTTTGTTTAAGTACGCGCAGTGTACATTTCAAAAAATACAATGAAATGTGACTTACAGTTAACAACAGTGTTAATACAGAAATGAAGTGGAAATGGAAACAATTGAAAACATTGTAGTTGGGCTAGGCCGATCATTCAATACTCGACACCGTATTGTCTAACACAGTAGTTATTTTGCTTATAGAACACAAAAATTATACCCTGTTTTTATAGAAACTTACTATTATGAGACTTTATATTAAAGATTACATTTTTTTGTAAATATAGGCTTACTTTCAATAAAATGGTTGTGCCCAAGAGGTTCAAAAATTGTGGTTCGTATTCAAAGTTCAGCGTAGTGAATCTTTACATCAATCTACTATTACTGATTGATCAATTTTTATCATAATATATTAAAGCTTCAACCTTTTCTGCCCTAAAAAACAAAAATTTTCGTAAAAATCCTGATGATTCAACAATAGGCGTGGGTGATCCAAATTTGGTACAACGAAGTTTTTTAACTTAAATTATTATTATGGGTTAAGCTTCATCATAACATATTAAAATTTAGACATTTCTAGCTTATAAATTATAATAGAGTATGTTCAAAAATTGGCCCAGCTGATTCAAAGTTTTCATACCAATTTGGAATGCCGAAATACTTATTGAAAATTAAAATTTTTTCGATATAACGACTTTCCAAAATAGGGCATTACATGTTGAGTGGTCGAAAAAGTAGACCAATTTGGACCATTTTGAATAGTATTCGCCTTTGGGTCAAATCACGTCTGTGTACCAATTTCATCAAAATATTTCAAAAATTGAGACATGTAGGTTAAACACAAAAATACATGCACAAAACAAACGGGCGTGCAAGCAGGCTTAGAACAGTTTAGAAAATGATTTTGAATCAATCGGTATAACAAAGGGTGGGTCTATTTTAAGAGCCTCTGCGTGTTACATACGTCCGCATAAACTTAATATACCGTGCACAATAAATGGTGTAGGGTATAAAAACGGACCATGGGATAATATGGTAGACAAAAGACATTAATTCATTCTCTTAAAAATATTTTTCTGCTAATAAATAATATGTGCGAGTTTTCTGCTAACTCAGTCTTTTAGTTATGAAGAAAAAAAAAAAATCTTGTAACACTTACCGCCTCTAACGTGGATTTCCCTACTAAGTACAGTTCCCACCAAATTACGCAGTTTGCATCTGAAAATGAATATTTTAGTAAACACAGTACAGTGAACGTAACTTAAAAAAATAATTGCTGCCTTACCTATAAACAGTGGCGTGAACTTCATGACGATATTTCTCGGCTGAAAATGGGTAAAACATCAAACTGCCATTTGATAGGGTGAATACCATATCTTGTTGTGGTGGTACAGGTGTCCATTCGACCTAGAAGTAAATGACAAAAACAAAATATATTGCAAAACTTGTAATTAAAGTCCAATAAATTATTGTTAAGACATATATTCTTAATTTTTTTTTACACGATAGATACGTACCCAAAAGATTCGTGTAAAAAAAAATATTGGCTAAATGGAAAAATACTAGATTCGTTGCAGACCTAAAAAAGCAACTGAACAGTACAATAAACAATACTAACAAGTAAGAAAATTAAATTCGGTCGGGACCGGTTCTTTTATGCCTATCATCGTTATCCTAAAAAAGAACTAAAACAAAAAAGTTTCATGCTCTATAAAATAGAGTGGACGCAGCTTTTTTTTATATTTTCGAAATGAAAGTTCTGGTTGTAGAGGCGTTGGAGGCATATCCTTTGAAAAGTTTACGTCAATTCCAAATTGTTTTGCAAATTTGTCGGCGATATCTTCACTTTCACTAACGTGAGAATGTTTACCACAAATACTACAAAGTTACGCAAACAGACAGATGAAGAGGCGGACATGTTTAGGTATATTCAACATTTGAAACTGGCCAAGAATTTATTTATGTACTTTGTAGAACTTTTACAGCTTTTTTCTGTGCCTTATAAAGTTGTTGAAAAAATAATTAAATTTTGATACCTTATAATATTGAGTAGGCGTGGTCAATTTTTTTCATTTTTGTGCACAGACGCTACAGCATCGCCCATGCGTCCAATTTTTGTACATTTATTTGCTACAAATTTTGAGTAATGAGCAAAATACCAATTTTTCATTCCCTTTGAAAAACAGAGGTGCTCCCAGTTTACGTGGTGCTGTGGGCTTGCCCTTCGACCAATTTGGCCCATTTTCAATGCTTTACGATGAAAATTATACCATAGTAGTAATTTACCGTAAAAAATTAACTGCGCCAAATTCGTATCATCGCGGCCCGTTTTTTGGGCGCTACCCTAATAACGATTTTCACTAAAATTGATTCTTTGTAGAGCAGAGAAGTCTAAGTTTTAACAATTAGTGATGACAATTGACTCATAATAATATAGTAATTGCGTGCAAAAATAAACTCTGCAAAAGTTAGACCCTCTACGCCTATTTCTAGTTCCCGCTCTATGTAAGTATTAAACTTGTACTACGTTAGGTTGGGTTTTGGGCCCGCTTCCCCATAAATACGCACATGAAAAATATGCCATTATATAGAAACAAGATATAAGTTTTGTGTTCTATAATAGAAATAGAAATTGTGTTAGACAATGTGGTGTAGGGTATTTAATGGTCGGCCTTGCTCGAATATAATGTTCTTAATTGTTTTTGTGTTGAAGTTTATAGTTATTCACAATTTAGCTATCCGCACTTACCTCGGGTGGTGGGCTGCCATGACCTGAGCATTCTATAAGACCGCCGGAATTGTTAGAAAATTCCACACGATGCGACGGTTCATGAAGAAATATCGGTCCCTGTAGATCCAAACCATTAGCAATGTAATTGTGTTCAGCTAAATATGTGGCCGTTGCGTATGTTTATTAAAAGTGGAAAGAAAAGCAAAGTAATCTAAGTTAATCTAACTTTCATTGTAATTGCTTTAAAAGAAAAGAAGGCATATGTTAAAATATCAAATTATTAAAATACACAAAACACTAAGACATTAGGGTTATGTACGTTAATACGAATTTAATTCAATTTATGTCATTGTTCATTTAAAAATTAGTTTTCGTGTAGACTGCCATTTCACGATCTGGCCGCCACAAGATTTTAAAATTTTTGGTATTTTCGGTAGCCGTCATTGTACCGATTGTTGTGGCATTAGTGAGAGAGCTTCCCGAAAGAAACATTCTAGGTTTTCCAGATCATTTCGGAGGTATTACCATACAGATTCATACGATATGTACCAAAATGTCTTCTGTTTTCTAACTCCCATGAGCTAGGGTCCCAAGTCCAACAGTAACTATTCTTCCCTATATATGGGACTCCTAGAGAGATGTAACACAGAGAGAGGCCTTCACAAAACTCGTGAGTTGATAAATGTCGTTGCTAGTTAAATCGGAATTTATCAATGAATAAGTTACAATACGATATCTTCAAGCCCTTATTTAACTAGAAGCATAAGCAGCTTTCATAAGGGTGTCCGACTATTTTGAAAAAGCTTTTACAATTTTTTATTATTACCAGCCATTGGAAGTTCATTTTCTTATTTAAAATTTTAGAATTTAGTTACAAATACATTTATTTTAGCTTAGCGATATACTCTTCGTTCTGGGGAGCGATAACAAGTGCTACATGATGTATATATCAGTGAATAAAGCAATATTTCATACGTTCATATCTTTAATTGTTACAAAAGAGACAACAAAAGAATTAGTAATACTATAATCGGGCAAGGTCGACTATTAGATATCCTACATGACTTGGTACAGTGCAATTATGCGCTCCTTTTGGCACACCGTAATAACACACCGAAGACTACATATTATTTGCCTGCAAAGGTATTCTGGAGGATGGCGTGATTCAATTTAAACAACCTTAGCTTACTTTCTAAATATTTTATTATATTTCACTTTCCGTCATAAAAAACTAGAAATTTAACTTTTTCTCCATACAAGGGCTTGTTTTTCATGATTATATTTTAGGCTCTAGAAATAGACCTTTGATTCAAATTCCCCACCGTTAATTCTTTTTCAACATAAAATAATAAAAATTATATCTCTTTCTGAAGCGGTTACTATTCATGAGAAATCTTACATGGGGTCAGATCCAAATTTGGTCCACTTAATTTTTATGTCAAATTATTATCTTAAGAAATTTTCATTATAAAACTTTAACTATTAGGTCTTTTTGGTATATGGTGGTATCTAAAAAATATACCTTTTCCAAATTCAGTAAGGTTGATTTCTTGGTCAATTTATTATTAAGGCACAAATTTTCATCATGAAATATTGAAAATGAGACGTGTTTACTATATAAAGATTTAGTTTTCGTAGGAACGGTTGTAAGAGTGGAATTTCAAAAAACTGCCCCAGCCGAACCAAAGTTCTCATACCAATTTAGGATGTCGAATATTATTCGATTTTTATTGAAAAATTTTGAAAAATGCAATTTTTTCCCAAAAACCGGCATTATACGGATAGTGGTCGAAAAAGTAGTCCGATCCGAGCCATTTCGAATAGTGTTTGTCCTTGTTTCATTGAAATGTCGAAAAAACTGTGAGCTATAAATTGAACCCAAATGTACATGACCAGACGTCAGATGGACAGGCGGACAGGCAGAAGGAAAGACGACGCTTAAGGCGATGCAGAAAATGATTCTGAGTCGAGTGATGTAAAAAAAGGTGGATCTATCTTAAGCCCTTCTGGGTTTTATATACATCCGCACAAACCTAATATACTCCGTACCAGATATGGCTATAAACAATATACTTTGATTTTCGGAATTCAGTTCATAGTTAACATTGCCAGGGATATATGCACAGAGCGAATACATATATGTACTTATATATATTTGTCTGCTTCTAAGTGCGTGGCATACATATAATGCTTCCGTAAACGTCAGCCGCGAGGGTCATATTTACTCAAGAATGCATGCGTTTGACGGCTTTTCAAATAGCATTTAAAATTACGTTTCGTTGTTCTGCTGTCACTGCTATATTTGCATATTTTTCCTTTTATTTTAAAAATGTGCGTTCCTCCCTGTATTATGGGCATATGATAAGTTTTTTGTGCTTTCTCTCTGGCGTTCAAGTTTTTAGAAAATTATTAATAAGGTTAATATCCATTTTATGGAAGTTTTGCTATTCACTTGCATCCCTAAATGACTTTCTTCATCTTCGTTGCTTGTTTCGTAAGCACTGATGCATTTATACACTCGCACATGAATTAAGCCTTGTATTTTATAACACCAATTATAAATATTGAAAATATTTTATTGTCTGCTTCTAAGTGCTTGCTAATTACTTTGAAAGAATAATAACCGAAGACCCCATCATAAAGCAGGCACTTTGCAAGTGAATGTGAAAATGTGAATCGATTGGCCATGTGCACGTAAATTTTTTTACCTCACAAAGTCACCGAAAATGAAAAGAAAGTTTGAAAATTTTAATACATATTTTATTAACCTGCTTGCTGAGTCGACCTAACTTTCAAATACACCTAACAGATGTGAAAAGCGCTTATGAGAGATAAGTAAAATATCTTAAACCTTAATTTCGTAAAACTTAGTTCAAACGCAAACTCAAAGGCGATTCGAAAAGAACAATATATTCTCGAATAATTTTTTTGCTAGTCTCAGCCCATAAGTGAGTCTATTGACGACTTCCATTTGCGTATTAAAACGTACTCTTATTGGTAAGGTAACGAAACGTAATCATTTAGGGAGTGTTCTGTTTACATCTTCTATTTTATATTTTTATATCAATTTTATTTATGGAAATGGAAGAAGTAAGAAAGAACTGGAAAAAATAAAATGCGAGCATAAAAAAATAGTTTCGATTGGTTTTACTAATACTAATTTCCAAAGTGTGTGTCTAGAAAGCGATTCTATTACATGCAGTATCATTATATAGCAAACCGGTCTACGTTCTACGTTGTGTCAAGTATTTACAATTTCAGATAACTTTTCGCTTCGAGGAAGATACGTAACGCTGCTATCTTATACGTACATAAGTAAATAAATAGAAAATATCTATAAAGTAGCAACATTTTTCCAATCTGTCGTATATGGGATCCACATAGAAAATTTTATGCACCTAAAGCCATCCTTTTTGATTACACATCTTATTGAAGTTATCGTAGCAAGGCGCAAATGTTTCAAAACCGTCCTTTATTAAAAAGACAATAGACATGTTCCCTTCTTTCATACGCAATTGTTTGGAACAGATTAACCTTTTGACTAATATGGGCTAAGACAGCGAAAAGAAAGAAAACGAGTTTTTAAAAATTTTTTGAATTGGAAGGAATGCTAACGGGATATTAGAAGGAAAGGTAAGTGGATTCAAATATGAATCTAAAAAAAATATTTAAAAAAAATGTATAACCCACATACCTACTGATATTGATTTTTGTACGATTCGTCTGCGTTTGAATGAAAAAAATTAATTTTTACCAAAATAAGGCATCATTTGGTGAATAAACAAATGTTTAAATGAACGCATGAAAAATTTCCTACGCACTTCTCCTCATTCGAATAAAAAGAATGAAAACTGGTGGAGTTATGCTGGTTGCTAATTACTTGAGAAAAATGTGCTTAAAACGTGTTATAGAGACGTACTTTACCCTTCCGTGAGGAATGTCCATTTCATGCTTTACTTTTAGCAAAATGAATGAGAAAATGGTGGCAAAATATATAATTTTGTAGCCAAATTCTCAATTTGTAGCGAAAACCTAAATTCTAAACTTTTAATTTCTTAGCAGAAGCATTGAAAGCTCTCAAATCCCTCTCAGCCTAATATTTGTTCAACGACCATCTCAATGAAGTTACAGTAATTTGTACTCAGTACTCAGCAGGCATTCATTTGACGCAAACAGTCTTCTCGGAGTATTTTGAACTAAATATATCAATAGCAATATAAAAACATTCGTTCAAAAATGAATTTTATAGACTGTTCTGTTTCTAGACTGTTCAAGGTATACGTTAAGCCAACACAAAAAAAAACATTTTTATAAAATATAAAATAAATGAATTATTGAACAATAAAAGGCTCTCTTCTCTTTGTTATGACATTCCGCCTGAAATTAGGAAGGTTACCCGTGCCTTATATTAAAAGCAAGCTTAATTCATAAAATATTACGCGAACAATGTGCGGGTAAATTAGTTATTCAATTTTCAGGATAATTAATCCGTGACTAACTAAAGCACAATAAATAAGATAACCGCCCAAAATATTCAACACGTTTTAAAAAACCACCAATTAAATGATAAAAAAGCTTAAGTGTTTTGCAAGATCTCTAATTTTGTTCGAAGAATTATTATGAGTGTAGAGGAATTGTTCAAAATAAATATTTCGGTTTTGATCGAATGTTGTTTGTTTGCAACAATCGAAATCAAAATGTCTCGAATTTAGTGACGATTTACAAGTATTTATTGCTTGAGTATATAACATAAACGTACAAATTGAATTATTCGAAGAAGAGTGCAATTAAAGTTGAGCGCTGATATGTCAAATGCTTTTATGCTCAGAAGTGTTGAAATTAGACCCGTTTTCCAATTTCCTTAAAAGTGGGAAAATCGGTCAAACACAAACTCACAGCCTAATCATCTCAAACGAATCAGTACCAAAATTCTTGAGCAAATATTGTGGGCATTTTAAATTAAAGGGTGTGAAGATAAATTCGAATTTAACTAGCAAAGACACCTACCATATCTGTTAACAAAAGTCGGTTAACGGTTTAACAGAGTTTTGTTAAGTAGTAAAAATTAAGATATAGTTGGATTTGGAAGCCTACTCCGTACATATTAAATAACGTAAAATATTTTTGTGGACATCTACATGAAAATACCTTTCAA